TTAGAAAAGCATGACATAACTTGAGGGTTACCTGGATGAGTTAAGGTCTTGCGATCACCCACAGAACAGACCACTCGAATAATAAAAGAAGCAATCGGTGGATTATCTCTAGTTAAATTCGATATCTCTGGATACAATTTAACATACAACACCCTGTTCTTCTCTAGAGATAAGTGCCTTCATTTCAAACCCCAAACAAAAAGTAAAACAAGAAAAGGTTAAAAATTCACTCCAACCCATAAAAAAATATAACGCAAACACAGAGCAAATTTTCCCAGCTACCAATCAGACTTGTAACATATGCAATGGGTTAAATTTATTTCTATAGTTAATATAAATGATTGAAATGTTAATGGGTGATCTTAGATTAACATTGATCATGCATGGATTTCAATCTTGATGATCATTAATTTCAACAAAGCAAGAATTCTGGTAAAAAGTGAAAAATTTGAGTTGGGTTTTGACTGACCAATTCCACTTGCCAATCTTGAAAGGATCGGATTTGCGGTAGGTGCAGGAAGCCAAGTTGTCGATTCTCCATTGGGCGAGACGCGACGTTGTTTCGACTCTGTAAGCTGAATCGCTCATCCTATCAGCAGAGAAAGCCAAGGCCGTCGTGATTTCATGGATGCAGTCGAAAATACCCTCCAACAGAGACTCTCCCGGCTTTCCCAGGTTGACAAATCCCACAATGCTCGCTTCTCATTAGCATATGCAACACCTAAACGACACCGTTCTGGTCTGTTCTCTCTCTGTTTCACTCTGTTTCTCTCTGTTTTCCCTCTGTGGCCTGCTTCTACTAAAGCAGTTACAAAATTTTCAAGAAAAGATAAAGTTTTTCGATATGGGTTTTAATTTTTGTATTTAAAACTCATTTGGGTTGCGATTGTTTCAACGGTTTCGGGCACGCAAGCGCCCCTTTGCTTTTGTTGTTTCTTTACGCCATTGGTTTTGGCAGAGAGAGAGAGAGGGGGGGAGTGGGGGATGGGGCCTTAGAGAGGTATTTGGGTATGGGAGTACAAACTACTTCAGGAGAGAGGATGAGGGGAGTGTGGAGTTTTTATTTATTGAGATGGATTTTTGTTTGCTTCACATAAATTGGTCATGGCATGGGGAGTATGCTTGGAATGGGAAAGCATCGTCCTTGGTTTATGGTGGCTTTGAAGCAAAGTATCTATTCTTTTTAGTAATATCTTAGCTTATTTATATTGATGTGTAATCATCAAATTGTTTGATTAAAGAGTAGATTTCATGGAAATGAACCCTTTTTTACTTTTATTTATTTATTTTGGACTCTATACAATTATTAAGAGAACATGTTTTTGTCAACTAAGAAATAATGAAAAGATAAGTGTATATATATAAAACTTCAAAATGCTTTCAATGAATAGAGATAAATTATTGTGAAAAAAATGTATAAAGTGAAAGTATCCTTCAATCACATGTAACACAGAATTTAACCAATTCAACATCTCATTCTATGTACTCATCACGTGTCCACAGATTACTAGTTAGTACGTAATAAATAAATGAAATCTCACTTATTATGACTAAATCTTAAGTTCTTCAATAGCAGAAAGAAAAAAAAATTGTGATATTAGATTGCATGACCTAATATCTGTAAACTTTGGCTCCTAAGTGGAAGTGGTAGTCAAAAAGCACTTCCTAACCAATATGGACTAGTCTACGATGATTAGTAGGAGTCATCCATGTGTCTTGGATTATGAATAGTAATGTTTTGGTAGTTTTATTATGGAAGATTTTGGAGATGCATTTTTAGGATGTTTAGCTCAGCTCAGGTATTTTAGCTTTATGGTGACTTTGAAGTTTTTGGTTTATAGTTTGGTCGATAGCTTTGTGGTGACTTTGAAGTTAAACCCATGAGTCACAATGAGATGTATATTTGTAGTCTCGTATCAAAAAGAGAAAAAGGGAAAAGGAAAATGACATGCAAACTAATAGCTTACAAGTCATAGCAAATCCAAAGCATTAATGTGTAAGCTTTAAATGGATGCTATCACACACCATCATTCATTAAGCTATTTGTTTTATATCTATCTTTTGGACCATATGCATGCAATCATATGATATCTACTTAATTAAGTTCTTTAAACATGATTTGCTTAATATATAAATTAAAGTAAAGAATATATAATTTCTTGTGGGAAGAGAGAGAGAGAGAGAGAGAGAGAGAGAGAGAGAGATGGCGGGGACATGGATTCAGAAGGGGGTGGAATCTTGGGTTAGTTTGTTTCCTTCTCTTATATAATTGGCAATGGAAAATTCTTTGATTGGAGGAGGGCATACGATATAAGTCGACAAGAAAGGTATCTCTGCGTGGGACATAACAACCAGAATCCTTACAAGGATCCCAATATTGCAAGTAACCTATAATTAGTAATGACTCATTAGTTGATTCATCTTTTTTCTTATTTTAAATTTTCCTCTAAAGTAATGGGGCATGGGCAGATGATCATGAATCGTAGGCAAAAAACAGTGGCCCACTTGTGGATTTTATATATTTGTTTTTAGTTTCTTGGTCCAATTGTCGTACGACACTCATTTGGGAAGATAGGGTCTCTCATAAGACATAATTGCCTTTATAGACATGATGATTCACTCCTTAAATAGGAAAAATGAATGATTGGATTAGTTTCATTTATTTGGGGTGAGAATTGCGATTATATAAAATTATTTGTTGATAATAAACATAGGCCAAAAGTCCTAAATGGTATAAGTGATTTTTGATATGGTGGTTTTATTTTTATTTATTTTTTGGTCGAAACACACTTTCATTGAAAGGGAAAGGACAAACCAAACACAACAGCCAAACAAACGACCTAAGGAAACCACAGCAAAGCTAAACCACAACAGGAGCAGAAGCTACTAACTCCCGAAAAACTACTAAACAAAGCAGTACCAGGCCAAACGAGCCAACCCAAAGAAAAAAAAAACACTAAGTTCCAGCTAGGACAAAGCACACTAGGACGCCACCCCAGAAGGCAAGCGTCAGATCCTAACTAGACAAAAAAAACATTAAACTTGTGGAGGACAAGGAAGACCATCGTTATGGAGCACGAAAACCAGGGAGGATGGGGGTCGACTGATCCAAACCTCATCGCACATCTGCCTCTTCGCTTCTAAAGCTGCAGCATCCGCTGCTCTGTTTTCTTTCCTTGGAATCCACTTCCAGTTGCAAGAGCCCAAAAGTATGCTCTTCTCCTTTAAAGCAGCAAGGATTGGGTAGATTGTCCATTTGCCTTTTAGAAAATGTCATCTAACACTTTGAACCAGCTTCTTTGAATTAGACTCACACTCAAGGTGGATACAACCCAAATCTGAGGCGACCTCAAGACCATGTAAAGCTGCAAAAGCTTCAGCTTCAATAGGAGAAGAGGCTAGTCTAAACTTTCCCGCTCCCCTTATAAAAGCACCATGCTCATCACGAATGACCGCTCCAAGACCTGTGAATAAAGTCTTCTTGTCCCAGGATGCATCCACATTTAGCTTAAGAGTAGCTTGGGGGGGAGGGAGCCACCTCTAAATTGTTTCTGACCCCCGCGAGCTAGGCTTCTCCGCACCATGCCTATTTAGCTTGACAACCTCCAGTAGTGAATGTTATTGCGATTACGCCATAATCGGTTATAATGTGTCCAACTGATCACTTTTGAATGGGTCGGAGAAGTTTTAATTCTTACTTTAACATTGCCATTGAAAAAAGAGATCAAGCCCTCAATAAACTGCAGAATCTCAATATCACTTATGAATGGGTCGAAGAATTACTCTAAAATAGCATAGAATATCATTTATATATATATATATATATGTTGTGTTACCTATGGCCAAGCCAAGTCTGTGTAATAAACAATCTCTAAAAATTTACGATATATGGGCAATGATGGTAAGCATGGAGAAATTATACAATGGTACCCTATCACCACGTCAGCCGGTGATACTTCCATTAAAAATATGCCACGTATTGTTATTATTTTTAAATAATTAAATCTTTTTTATACAGCTGGACTTTAATTATGTTTTTATCTTTAAAATAAAATTGAGAAAATAAGAATATCCAAAAGACAGAAGAACCACCGCCCACCCCAACCATAGCTCCCTTGACTGACGCGCCCTCCCTATCATTTTCTTCCTCCATCCATCTCTCTATTCCATAAACAACAACCATATCTCTATTTCATTGGATCGAAGTGCAGAGAGCGTCATAACGTCTTTTTTTTTTGGGCTGATTTTTCTCCACAATATTACCAAAGGGATTAAGATTCTCCTCCTCCTCCTCCATCATTCACTTCCTAATACATATTAAGACAAAAAACACCAACCCAGTTTACAGTTACTTCTTTTTCTTGAGCTATGCTTGAAAATGAAAACCGAAGTTGAAAATTTAAAATTTTTTTCGAACTGGGTTGAAGTGATGGATACTCCTGACATACTTAGAATATATGATATTGGTTTTATTTTCTACTCCCCTAGTTTAAGAGATCTTGCAGATTTTTATGGAGAGAGAGAGAGAGGGAGGGGGCGGCAAGCAGTGGGAGTGGGGAAATTGGGTTGGGGTGGGAGGGAGGTGGTTATGGCGTCTTTTGTTTTTTCTCTTTCTACAATTTTATTCTAAATGTAAATAATGAATTTTAAATACAGCTTGTAAAAAAATCAAATTTATTTAAAAAAGATTGACACATGGCGTATTTTGAGTTGAAGTATCATCGGCTAACGTGGTGATAGTACTATTCTATAATTTCTCGTAAGCATGGGTAAGTCAATCTTCTAGAATGAGGTATATGTACTAAGAGCATCCACAATGGGCTCTCTAAACCACCTCCTTAGACAAATTTTAGGGAGGAATCGTAAAAATGCAACTCCAACCACGCTCCCTATTTACCTCCTAAAATAAGGAGTCATCTAGGAGCTCCTAAATCTAAAGAGAGAGAAATGACTCCTAGTGGCTCTCTATAATTTAATGCTGCTTTATTTAATGAGTATTTCAAACTTGTATTTAATGTTAACTATTTTTTATTTTATTTTTTAACAGAGATGGACCAATCAAAAAAGAGTTATAATATTTATGACTTTCCAAATTAGGGAGTATGGTTGGAGTTAAATTTTTTTAGAGAGCTCCTAAAATAGCTTTCTTATATTCTTAGCCAAATTTTAACTAAGAAATAGAGAGCATCATTGTAGATGCTCTAAGCCCTATACCCTATACGTACTAATATAGGAAAGATGGATTAATTGTATTATTTTTAGCCAATTAGATTGTGAACAATGAATTACTAGATTTTGGTTAGAATTAATTAATAAAGCACTATGGATAATAGTTAGGTAAACCCATATATGATTTTAAATATAATGGTAGGCAAAACTATGATTGCGACCGCAGAATTCTATGAAAGTTGGATAGTTTATGTTTCTAATGACCTTTTTGTCTTGACCTCATAATTAAGTCAAGCCATCACTGAAATGCCCTAATTAAGAGGTCAGAAATAATATCACAATCTTGGTTCTTTGTCTTCTGACCGTTGATCATATGCAGTTGATCAAACAAGAGGCATCAACTGAGAGAGACATTTGCTTACAAGATAACACTGAGAAAGACAATTGGGTCACGGCGACCTATCTATCTACTTGCATTTCAAAGCTTGAATGGTAGTTTTTGTGAGAGGACTGTCGCATGGACAGGTGGCAACAGTGTAGAGCATTATACTAATTTTGTAATATATTTATTGGAAATGATTCAATTTTGAAACTTAGGTAGAAGCAAAAAATAAGAATAAAAAAAGTGTAGTGCAAGAAGACTGGCTCTGTCGGCAAACACTGACGAGTCAAATGGCTGCTACTGCATACATGGTTATGCGATTAATTGGCACACTAGGATAAGTCACCAAACCAGTGCATATGGACGAACCAATACACAACCTCCCTTCTCCTCCAATTTTTTAAGGTTGTAATCTGACCAAAACAAAACCCTAGTTACTCGAGAAAATTTATCCAAAATTTCCGGATAGAACACTGAATAGTTTTCTTTATCAGTGTGAATTACCATTCGGATTTGTAACTTGTTTCAACGTTATAAAGAAAAATATTAACAGACAAAGTGCTAGTTATTGGTGGTCTTAATTTTTTAGATGACTTTGCAATTAACAATTTGTGTCGAATTAGGATTAATTCGTACCCCAAAATGACACAACCCGAACACGCGAATTTGAAACTGTTATAACTGCATGTGCCAAACTTAGAAGTCACGTATTGCCTATAGACTAGAGCCCATCATCTCATTTATATCATCACTTGGAAGGAGTTACCAGAGGTGGTGTATGAGTTGTGAGCACCATCCACACACACACACACACAAGTACAGTCATTATAATACGATGAACTCGACTGGTTTTTCCTCAAGAGCCAATTTGTTAAGTTTTCCATGGCATCCGACTCTCTACTCAAATTCGTACACATTACACAGTTGGCCTGGCTACTTAATTAATTTGGGTTGTTCTTTCAAGTTTCTGTTCTTCTTCATGTTCTAAATGGGCTGACCCTTCTTCTATACTTGGCTTCAATTGGGCTTTTGAGGGGCATAGAGTTATGCGGACACAATTTGAGTCCTTGGGCCTTATTCTTTTAATTCCAAATAATATAATGTAGCTAAACCTATGTGATCAATTTGAAGTATTGGGGTGGCTCCAAGAAAGATAGCTTAATAAGTAGTTTACATTTTGTTGCAGCACCGATACTATGAGGAATCAATCCCGTTCGGATCAATGGAGGAATCATTTGAAAATGCTAGCACTCTTGGATACTTCAACTCAGCCCAAGCGATAGCAGATTATGCAGAGATCCTCAAACGTGTAAAGAAGGAACTACATGCTGAACATAGTCTGGTGATTGTTATTGGTGGATCATATGGTGAAGTAAGTGACTTTCATAGGCTTCTTCATAACTGTTTGAAGATCCACATGAGTCTGAAAAAGTAAAAATAAAAACATTTGGAGCTAGCATGTATTAATTCTTTACTTTAGAGTAAGTATTAATTGTAATTAAAATGATTTTGTAGTGACTCATTGCTTGGATTTGCTACGTTGAAACAGTAGTGATCCGGAGTGGTTGGTCAACCAGCGCAAAGAAGGATGGATTGACAAGTACTCCGTGGATCTTCAGGCATTAAAACATGAAAAACCACTCCAAAACTAAAGTGCCAGAGGAACTAAGATTTAATTGGGAATTTGTTGGCTTCAAAATTCAAAAATTGAGCAAGGAAATTGATGCGCTGTAGACTATTTTGTCCCAACTTAGGGTTTAATAAAGTTGGCTAGAGCGGATGTGCTCCCTACTCTGCACCTGAGTTCGAATTTCCTTCCCCGTAATTTAGATTAGATTAAAGTAGATTATCGTTTGTATATATAAAAAAAAATGATTGGAATTTGTTGGCTTCAAATATTGAGCAAGGAAATTCATGGACCACGGACTATTTTGTCCTTTAATGATAGCTTTTATCAGAAAGGTGCAAGTGATATAGTGTGCGCAAGCCAAATTGTAAAGTAATTAAAGATGGTGCATTATTTATTTCTCATGTGACGTTGGAGGCTTGGAGCATTAATTTGAAGCAATTTGGGTTTTCTTTTTCCTTTCAAGTTTTTGTTCTTCTTGTTCTAAATGAGCTTGGGTTATTCTTGGGTCAAATGGGGTTGTTGACAAGTGGGCTTTTTTTTAAAATTAATTAATTTATAAATTTTATAGATTGATAGAGAAGTGAGTTTAACAACGTCGTCACCAAATTATCTGAATATTTCAGTCCAAAAATTCATATGTCATTGACAAGTGGGTTTTTAAATTAATTAATTTTTTTTTAAAAAGTCATTGGGCATAGAAAATATATATATTACAAGCCAACAACTAAGAGCATCTACAATGATGCTCTCTATTTTTTAGCTAAAATTTGGCTAAGAATATAAGAAAGCTATTTTAGGAGCTCTCTAAAAAATTTCAACTCCAACCACACTCCCTAATTTGGAGAGTCATAAATGTTATAACTCTTTTTTGATTGGTCCATCTCTATCAAAAAATAAAATAAAAAATAGTTAGCATTAAATAAAGGTTTGAAATACTCATTAAATAAAGCAGCATTAAATTATAGGGAGTCACTAGGAGTCCTTTCTCTCTCCTCAGATTTAGGAGCTCCTAGAGGACTCCCTATTTTAGGAGGTGGATATGGAGTGGTTGGAGTTGCATTTTTATGATTCCTCCCTAAAATTTGTCTAAGGAGGTGGTTTAGGGAGTCCATTGTGGATGCTCTAATTGAAGCTTAAATATGTAATCAGGGGTTTGTCGACAACCTTCACCTTTTCAGTTAATATATATATTACGGCTAATTAATTTTTTAAACCATGTAATTAATTTGCTGATTTGCAACTGAAACAATCGTCTGGCACCTTTTAATTACTTGATCAACCAAAATTACATGATAGGGAGGATAACAGCTGATCCGTTGTGGAAAAGTGGGTTTAAAGACGATCAGAACTTTATAGATGGGTAAAAGCACTATGTTAAAAAGTGCTGTTTTTACCAGAGGTAGTATCCATCGTAGTGCACAGGATAGTGAATATAGCTTGATGTCCATTCAATTGGAACAAATGGCTTTGCATCATCTGGTTTCTTCACTTCTGCAACACTCACTATGGTGGCATAACCAAGCTTCTTCTTCAATGATTTGGCCAAGTCAACCGCATCGACTCCGTCTCCAATCACCTCCACATGCTCTTTCTCTACTTCTATCGACACTTTGCTCACACCTGCTTAATCAATCATGAGTCAACTAATTAATTATCATTTGTGTAGCCACCAAAGTGTTTGACCATTTGAGTGATCGATGCATACCTTTGGCGACCGCAGCAATCTTCAAGGCCTTGGTTCTGCATTTCTCAGACTTCAGTTGCACCTTCATGACTATCTTTTGCTGCATAGACAAGGATCGCGGTTAAAGCTTACTGTTCAGTTGTCTCAAGAAAATCTAAATTAGTAGTTCAGACTATCGCTTAGATGTTGAAACAAATTAGTGAAAAGGGCTTACCTTCATGTCGGAAATTGAACTATATGAAAAATATATTATGTAGCCTTTTTTGGGAGCTGAAAACTCTTATGAATCTATATGAATGAATGTGTCTTTTTTGTACTTGGAAGACTTAGATGTCCCTTGCAATGCAACACCAAGTCTATGCTGTATTTATAGGAGCTATTAGTCTTCATAGAATATACTAACTGCAACTTGCAAGTAGGCTCCAATATTCAACACACGTTCAGGTCAGCTGCTTGGAAACCAAGATTTTCACATACCGCGTCAAGACACTGTACGAGATAGATTCAAAGTTTACTCAAGGAGACTTTGACTTTTCCTAAAGACAAGAGGAAAAGGTGGAAGTACAATGACTGATACTTACAAATACACAAAAATTGGTTTGGTGCCAGAGCTCCCATCTGGGCCCTTTTCCATTAAAGTATGATTATTACTTTTAAGTGATTGGGCAAATCTTGCATGAATACTTCATAATAAAGCCTTTATTGTCTATACAAATAATAAATCGGAGTTTTATGTGTGAAAGCTTCATACATAAATAACTAAATAAGTGGAGAGTTTCTTCACATATAATAAATTTTATTAGTATGCCAAAATAATCAAAAGAACAAACATTAGTTAATTCCAAGTTCTAATATCCGAGTTTTGGTGAAGGACAGAGATGTTCTTCAAGTGGAGGGTTAAGATTGGATTAAATATTGTTAAGTCTTATGATATATATATATATATATATATTGGTTTGTTCAAAGTTTAGGGAAGGGAGACTACCCCATTTCAGGATCAGGACATACTAAAGCCTCTTTGAGGACTTACAAAGAGGATCTTAGCCATTTTTTTGATTTTTACAGATTACATGTCAAGAAAAATTGTCAGCAATGAGACTAGAATTTATGGTTGAATAGCGAAGATAATGATCTTTACTAACTCAACTAACCTCGTTGGCTAAGTCTTATGGTATTAGATGATGTATGTATAGTGAAGTCATAGGAACCATCTATGTGAGTCAATCCAGGTAAAGACAATCGAGTCAAGTCGGGTATTAATTGGTACTATTCTAACAACCATGAGGTTATATATGTGAATTGGTCTTAATTTGAGGGCAAGCCCAAGAAAAAATGTGTTCAGTACTTTTTAAATTTATTTTTATTTTTTGTGTGTGGTGGGGCTTTACTGTGTGTGTATTAGTGCTTTAGCTTATTGAAGAATTTCTTTCAAAATTGTTTTGATGGTCCCTTGTCACCATTTGGTATGGTGCATGACTTTTATTCTCTACTTTATTGGAGAATAACTAGATTAATTAAATCCTAGGGATGACAGTTTGTACCCTAAACCTTCTTTCACTACAAACTTAAAATTCAAAACCTCACAATCCTTATTAACATATGCACTATATATTAAAATAATTTACAATTTATATTCGCCTGAGACGATTTGTTATCGTTCCACTCCGACATGCGCCTATATATGCATGCCTTTAAAAAACATTGACTAGTGGTAGTGACCCATTTTGATTAATGCATGTCTCTATGTATTATGAAGTCAAGAAACAATAGAGTAGTTGTGCAATTTCATATCCTTAGCTAATTACCGAATGGACGCTCATGCTTCTCTTGAGGAATTTGTGTTGATTGCGTTTGAAAACAAAAAATAATTAACACATATAGATGTTGCTTGAACTCAAGAAGATGTTTATATATTGATAAGTTTGGTAAAAAATTAATAATACAAAATGAATAATGAAAATGAATTTCAATCACAATTACATAATAGAACAATTGATCTGTTGCGGAGATTCATCATGAACTACACGATAGTGAGTAGAACGATGTCGTGGATGATGGACATAGCTTGATGTCCAATATTGTGTTGTTGTTGGAGTTGGTTTCTCCTCCTCCGCATTTGCTTTCACTGGTTCAACACTTATTATCGCGGCGGAGCCAAGCTTCTTCCTCAACGACATGGTCAATCTCGTGGTATCGACTCCAGCTCCAATCACCTCCATCTGCTCTTTCTCAGCTTCTATCGACACTTTGCTCACACCTGCTTGCATATATATAAGGATGGTCCCATGAGGATGCGAAATAAAGAATTGTTCCACATTTGAAAGTTACCAAACTTTGCACAAGACTTATAAAGAGTTGAGTTACTTCCTAATTACTAATTGCTTTTGGTGTGGAACGTTAACTTTCTCTAGATCGCAAGTTAATTTATCAAAGAATTAAAGTTTCCTATGAAAAAATATATATATAATTTTGTAAACCTTTAGCGACTGCAGCAATCTTCAAGGCATTGGTTCTGTGTTTCTCACAGTTCATTTGCAACTTCATAACTATCTTTTGCTGCACCATGGTAGGTAGGACCTTGCTTTATGAGTTGATGTGATTTACTTCAGAGGTGGATGGGAAAGTAGCTCAATGCGATGTTGTATTTATAGGAGTTTGGTCGTTTTATAATACTTTTACCTCCGGTTGACTTGTCCCCACAGAAGACCAAGTTTACTCACCTTCAACTAAAACAAACAAACTACTTTTTCCGCACTCATACACTGAGTCAAAGCAACCGTGGATTCCAATTCTTGTAGTAAAACGCGGCTGATCAATACTTTTGAATAAGAAAGACTTGCATTTCACAGGCAGCTGTCTAGCCAGGATGCTTATTGTGGTCCTTCCATAAATCTTATATAAAGAATAAATTAAAGTGGACTTCATATTTCATTCATTGCACAATGGAATTAGAAGCTTCTGCACAATTAGGGACGGACCCACAGTGGGGTTAATGGGGTCAAACGACCTTATGAACTCTATGAATGTAAGGTAGAAGGTCCTTTTGAACTTGTGTGTGACCCCATGAATGGCTGAAGGAGGAGCTGCAAATCTGAGGAAGAAGAAGCTGAACAGGGGTTCAATTTTTTTTATAAAAAGAAGCTGACCAAAACGGCGTTGTTTTGGGTCAGCTTCTATTTTTTTTTCTTAAACCCGGCTAGCCAAAACGGCGTCGTTTTGGACCAGCCCAGCGAATTTTTTAAAAAACGCGCTAGATCCAAAACGACGTCGTTTTGAACCCAGCGAAATTTTTTTAAAAATGCGCTGGCACCAAAATGGCTTCATTTTGGACCAGCAACAACAATTTTTTTTTTTAAAAGACCTGGCCAAAACGACGTCGTTTTGGTCCAGGTCTTTGAAAAAAAAAAATAGAATAGATTGTAGTTGAAACAGACCATTCTCTTCGACCAAACAAAACAGACCCTTCTCAAAACTCCAAAATCCCCATTTCCTAAACCTAAATCCCCAATCTTCACCCACCCACGAACCTTTAACCCTCTCCTCACCAAGCTTTAATCTTTTAAAAAAAAATTGAACTTTTACACTATGACCCTACGAGTTCATATTCCTGGGTCCGTCCCTGTGCAAAACTCCTCATGCATTAATTAAAAATAAGGGTTAATTACATAAAATTTCTCAAATTATTAGGTATTTCTCAAGTTCATATATGATTTTGGGCAATGATTTCCCCACTCCTATTTTATCCACTTACACTCCTTTTTTAGTTATAAAAAAGGAGTGTAAGTGGATAAAATAGGAGAAAAAGGAGTGGGGAAATCACCACTCATGATTTTAGGGATCATCATTTGGCCCATAGGCTCATGGGGCCCATCTGGTCCATCAGAGAAAAAGCCCGACCTGGCCAATTAGTTAGTGGGCTTAGCTTAGAGCCCAGCCTGACTCATAGGCCCAGTCTGTTTGAGCCCACAAAAACCCAGCTTGGTCCGCTCATCAAAGTTCGGGCCCGTAGGCCCAAATTTAATTATATTATATATATAACTTAGTATATTGGGTTAATTATATTATATATATATATCCTGAAAAATATAAGGAAATAGAGACTTCAACACACACAAGGGTTCCCTTCCACTTTCATTCCTTTCCAACACCTTATTCACCATGCTATAGAAAACTTTGTGATTATGTACTACACCATTTGAGATTTATAATGTTTCTGTAGACAACTTTGTCTTTTCCTTCTTTTCCCTACCACTTTCATTCATCTCTAACACCTTATTCATCATGCTACACACAACCTTGTGATTATAAGCTACACAATTTGATATGTATAATGTTTCTACAAGCTGTTTATTTGCCTACGCGGTGCTATACAACATTTACAATATCACTACATCAACAGATGATACTTCCATTCAAAAATTGAAAATGTTTTTTTATTTTTATTTTATTTTTAATTTTTAAAAAATAATTAAAAAAAAACTTAAAAATTCTTTTCCAACCTGGACTTATAACTGACATGGCAACTTTTAAACGAAAATATCACACAATAATTTCTCCACATGTTCCTCCAATATGCCCAAACGAAGTCCCAAATAAACCGAATTCATCAATATTTGCAAAACGCACCGTATGGTGTCTCTCTCCCGACCTCATTGGCATTGGTTCGCTACTATGGAGGCCATATACTTCTATTATAGGATATATAAAATTATTGTGTCCTATGAAGATGAAAACTTTTAGCAGAAAAGTGCTAGTCAAAGTGTGTGTAAGCCGACTCGTAATGGTGCACTCAGTTTTGGTTTATTATTAATTTTTTTTAGTTTTGTTCGTCTTGTTCCAAATGGGCTGGCAGTATTGTAATCGTTGCATATAAACTCTAATCAACAAATTTCAATAACAATATTACATAATAAAAACAAATGTTTGCCTTTTTATTCCGCAACAAATTTCAACACCAATTACATAAAATGGAGCAAATGTTTTCCTTTTACTAATGGTAAAAGTAAAACATTGTCAGAAGCACTTTAATTAAGAGTGCTTAATTTAACATCGGCAGAATCCATCATAGTGTGGACAGTGAATATAGCTTGATGTCCATTGAATTGGAATGACTGGCTCTGGCTCCTCTGGTTCTTTCACTTCTCCAACACTTACAATGGAAGCAAAGCCAAGCTGCTTCTCCAATGACTTGGCCAAGGAAACGGCATCAACTCCAACTCCAATCACCTCCACTTCCGCTTTCTCTACCACAAGAAAGAAAATAACAAAATAAGAAAGTTATTAAGCTATTTGGTGCATGATTTTTTATATTTTGTATTTAAAATTTG